TCGATAAATTATATCATTTCTTATATCTTTTTAGGTAACTAAACTTGATAATCTTTTATTGTATTTCTGTATAAAAACATGTTTTTCGTTTAAAGGTAAATTAAACATGTCTTCGTTAGTTAATTATGATTCTGATGAAACTTTGTCAGAACCCGATAGAAAATCGTCTCATGAAATATGCCATCTTGCAGAAACAATCAAAGAAATTAATAAAAAACAGGAGCATAATGAATATACAATTACTCTACAAAAAGAACGTATTGAACATGAACAAAAAAGAGACGATGCGAATAGAGATTAACGCAAAAACGAATTTATTCTAAATCTTAAACAACGCAAACATGAATTTAATCAAAATTTACACCAATGTGAAAAGGAGAATCTTTGTACTCATGAAGTAGAAATTCTTAAAATAGAACAAGAAGGAAAGGAGAATCTTCGTACTCATGAAGTAGAAATTCTTAAAATAGAACAAAGAGGAAAAGAAAATTCTAAAATTATAGTATTCTTATCTTTTATATTTTCATTTTTTCTATGCTTATGTTTTAATGCACACTTTAAATTATATATTTATATTGTGTTTATTTTTTTCTTTTTGTTCATATATTCTTAAATAAATTTGATCAAAAATACATTCTTGTATATCTTGTTATCTTATGTTTCATAATGCTTTAGGATGAAAATGGATTAAAAAAAATTATTTCCAAATTAGAAATTCCAATTATCAATCACGTTATGGCTTTTCTTGTCTAATAAGTTATTAACTATAAGTTATTTATGCTCTTATGATTAACTATTAAAATATCCAATTAAGAATACTAAACCTTTCCGTAATTCAAATTTTTTTGATTAATTATCTAAAAAATATAATATTTTATTGGAAAAAGAAAATTTACGCTTTGATTTCAGAACAAAAGAGTTTATTTAAATTCATATTTAATATATTTTAATAAATAAACAAGAATTAAAAAACACAACAGTTTCATGAAAAAAAATCTTTGTCTTTCTATTTGTCTTTCTTTTTGACGATTTTCTCTTTCTTCTTTTTGATCTCGGAGTAAGTGAAAAATGATATCAACAATTTGTTCATTGTTAAGTTTAATCATTTCTTTTTTATGGTTGCAACATGAACAATTTCGTTCAACTTCATTTTTATTTTTATACCACTCTTCAACATAGATATTAATTTGTTCCCTGATAAATCAAGTAAAAATTAAAAGATAATAAATAGGAAATAGCGAATAATCCTACCAAGTCATGTTTAATAAAGTATCCATATTTTTGTTCCTAATCAGCATAATCAT